TTGGCAAGTCCTGATTTCTGAGAAAGCTTGGAAGAAATTTTAAGCCTTTTTCTTAATAATACCAACAGTGACCATTCAGGATTAACAGCTTTGATTTATAGTAGGTGCAGGTTTAAGCCCAGCTGCAGTATAAACCTGTTGAGGCAAGTGATCAATATTTGTATTTTTATTTGCAGGTGCAACACGCAAGTAAACAGATTGCTGCTGATAAGCAGTACAAGGGTATCATCGATTGTGTAGTGCGTATTCCAAAGGAACAAGGAGTGCTGTCTTTCTGGCGAGGCAACTTGGCAAATGTCATCAGATACTTCCCAACTCAAGCTCTTAATTTTGCCTTCAAGGATAAGTATAAGCAGGTGTTTCTGGGAGGTGTAGACAAGCACACTCAGTTCTGGAGGTATTTTGCTGGTAACCTGGCATCTGGTGGTGCAGCTGGAGCCACTTCCCTCTGCTTTGTCTACCCCTTGGATTTTGCAAGAACCCGTTTGGCTGCTGATGTTGGAAAAGCTGGCGCAGACAGAGAATTCTCTGGTCTTGGGGACTGTCTAGTCAAAATCACCAAGTCTGATGGTGTGCGTGGCTTGTACCAAGGGTTCAATGTCTCTGTCCAAGGCATCATCATCTATAGAGCTGCCTACTTTGGGATCTATGATACAGCAAAAGGTAATACTTCAGAGAGGATCTGAAAACCTGTGTTTAGAATTATATTGTCTGGTTTTGGATAGGTGAAATTGGGTATCAGTGCCACGTTCATGACACTGCTGTATACAAAAGGAAACTTTTGCGTGAGTTGGTGGCAGCAGCCTACTTGCAAGTACTGGTGTACTTTGGGCAGTTGCTTCTAAGGCTAGGAGAGTATGTTGGTGACCAGATGTAATTAGAATAATTTCTTTTTTGTTCAGCGCATTCTGAAGTTACACTGGACCGGTCCAAATGTGTTTAGCAGAATGGGATTGAGCAGTGCCTTTGCAAAGTAGTTTTTAAGCTTGACATTTGGGCAAATAAGCCATTGATGCTAGTTTGTAGTGTAATGTTATGCACAGATACAGTGACTTAATTTAGTGACATTTCTTTACTAAAAGTATAGTGAATAGTCAAGTCTTCTCATGCCAGTCTAAAAAAACTGCTTACGCTTAAATGGTAACTTATTTTGATTACTGAGAAGAAAGTCTTCTAGATATGGCTTCAGTATGTTTAAAGTTTGTGAAATGTTTTGCTGCAGTTTTATTTACAGTAGGGTCTATAATGTTTCATACTAATTCATGTAGTAAAATAGCTGTCATGCAGTGAGTGAACCCCAGAGGAGGATTTGCATGGTAAAAAGCTAATTGCCTTTTTCGTTTCATTGCAGGCATGCTCCCAGATCCCAGAAATACTCACATCGTTATCAGTTGGATGATTGCCCAGACAGTGACTGCTGTGGCTGGCGTGGTTTCCTATCCTTTTGATACGGTGCGGCGTAGAATGATGATGCAGTCAGGACGCAAAGGAGGTAGGCTGTAAATCCACGGAGCTGTTCATGCTGATAAAAAAGCATTGACAATATGGTGTTTTTTTAGTAATAGCCATCCTCAGAATTACCGTTCGTTTTTCTATAAATCTGGCTTATTACATTGTACTCAAATGAATAAGGCTCAACTTGAGATTGTCAGGATTTATGCTGAGGACTTTTCCTTATGGAACATGAAATAAAAAAAAAACGGACTGCATGTTTGCATTGTCAGATTAAACAAAGGTATTAATAAGAAGCCATAGTACTTTTAGTAAGTATTGTGTCACAGTCTTAAAACTGTGGTTTGGGACATCACAAAGCAGTTAAGTGAAATAGGCCAGTTGTTAAAATTATCGGAGATAATATAGGAATTAAGAATAACTCTTTGCTCTTTTCCTGCAGCTGATATCATGTACTCTGGAACAATTGACTGCTGGCGGAAGATCGCAAGGGATGAAGGAGGAAAGGCCTTCTTCAAGGGTGCATGGTCTAATGTTCTCAGAGGCATGGGGGGTGCTTTCGTGCTTGTGCTGTACGATGAATTCAAGAAAGTAATTTAAACAGCCTAAATAGAATTGGAAATCAAGTTGAGCAGATCATGTAGAATAACTACCATTATGGACCATTGACCTTCAAGAAATTCCTGTGAGTCTTATTTATCGGAGCCAGATGATACTTCTAGATGGGGCTAGAAACTGACATAGAGGACTGATCCACTTCTCTCTAACACGCATGAAGACACTGAATCTGGCAATTCAGTGTGGCAATTTTTCTTTACAGCAGTAAGGAATGAGTGGCGTTGGTTCTGGGTCCAAAGTTGTTAGATCCAGTTCAGGCAGAAAAACATCATTTGCCTGTGGATCAGTCTCTAGTTTCAAGTCCTATCTTCTAGGACCATAAAATTGTATTTGAAAGCATTTGCTAACAAATCATGTTCTTTTCCACTTGTACTGAAGCACTATGTACCATTTTGCACAGCTGAACATCTAGCAACTTTGTTCTTAAATTGGGGCATTCTGCTGTAAAACAATAAACATACTTACTCGGTCTGTGTTGAAATTATTACATAAAAGCTTTGGGAAAGCCTCTTGTATTTGAAAACTTGATTCAAGATAATGGGTCCTCTGATACCCTTACACTGCATTCTGTAACAAAATAAGCTTTTCTGAAAAATAAACGTGAGATCTTCAGAGAGGAGGGTGGGGAAGCATGGGTTATACTAATAGAAACCACGCCCATTCTTTGTGCCTGATAGTGTTTGATGGGCTGCAGCAAGTGGCTTTTTGCATGATTCTTAGAAATTGATTTAACACTTCTATGATTTAAAATGGGAGGGAGGGAGGTGTTCAGTTGTAATGCTAGGGAAACCCAAAGTACCAAGAACTATCAAAAAGTAATGCTCTTGCCCTTGGTAAAACAGCCTAAAAATTTTTTTTTTTGTTAAATCAGTATGGAGAACATCATGGCATTCATGCAAAAACCCAGGAACTCAGTAAATGCTTTCAACTTCTGATTGACCTACGTATTTTAATGTTGCTGCTGGTTGGAAATGTTGGTTGTGCCATTCAAGATACTGTTTGGCCTCATCTATAGCAGTGGTCAGTAGCTCTGGAAGGTTGAATTTAATCTGAAATGAGTTGCAGTCTAGTAGGTGAAGTTGAAGGGGTGTGGGAGAAGGAATGTGTGTGCTTCTATGTAGCTGTAAAATAATAGATCAAAGTAGGTCAGCCTTCAGTATTAACTGGTTGATGTTTAGGGATGGTCAGAAGGCCAGATTGATTAATTTCTCATAACTGCTCTTTGAGATCATGTAATACCTATGTGTCGTTCTTCATGTGTATATAATCTTTTGTACTTTGTAATCTGCAAAGACATGGTAGAGGGACCAGTAGACGAAAACAAGGTGTTAATCTTCGTGTTTTAAAAACTCTCCCTATATCTTGAGAAAGGAAAAGTGTGTCATTGTGTGACTCAGTGAAGGCTGATTGGGCTGTCTTGAGTTCTTCTGTGCCTTCTCAGATTGCTGTTCAAGATGAAGTATTTAAATTACCTGCTTAGCTTTGGCTGGTTATTAATCTTCCTCTGGCGTGTACTTTACCTTCTTCCTTTCACTGTTGCACAAGCACTGCTTTCAACATCTATATATGAATGTAAGGACGTTACACAGCTGCTTTGTACACAGGCTAATGGCAGATTTAATATACCTACTGCATGTGGTTCTTGCTTCCTGTGTGCCAGTGGCAGCTCCCTGTGGTGCAGGCAGGTCATTTGGTGTAAACCCTGCTAATCAGTTTGCTGGGGAGCAGGGAAAGAGATTTTGTCTATATAAACACATTAATCAGGTTTCTTTCTGTATCAGTGCCTTGCAAGGGTAGAGATAATGATGGGTTACCTCCCTGTTAGTGTATGGTGGCCCAAACTTTGGGAAAGAAACCAAACACGGTAGTTACTTCAGCAGCCCCTGACAGGGACAGGACTTGTACACCCAATCTCACCTTCAGGACAAGGTTTAATCAAAAGAAATAGGAAAAGAAACAAATGCAAGCGTAGGTGTTTAAGTGAAACTGCAATTTCCCAATGCTGTACATTCAATATGAACTAATTTGTGATATTCAGGTTTTTATTTTTTTTAAATATGCAGCTTCCCTTAGTCATGCAGCAGCAATTTCCAATGTGTGATGCAGTTTAGGGATGTAAGAGGCAAACAATAAATGAGACTTTTAAAAAAAATCCTCATTTGTTTTCTGTCTTATTGAAGCACTGAAATACATTCATTTTGGAAAGTATGAACAGGAAAACATCCAGCATTTGTAAAAGAAAATACTGGCATCTAAGGCCTATATTATATTTAAAGGGCATTGGAAATAGCATTTGCAGCCTTTGAAGGGAGAAACTAAAATACATTTGTGAGGAAATTCTACATTTAAGATCTAACTCTTAAATATTAGATTTTATTTTGTTTCTCACAACTGTTAGATTTTTTTGAAGGCTTTAGATGCTAGTTATGTGAATTAAGTACATACCGAAACTGCACAGGATCGCAGTGTTGCAGAAGTCTTTACAGTGGCAGTACTGAGTTCATGAAATGGCTGATTGACATACCAATATTAATAATTATAATTTACAAGAATGATTTTATTTTCCATTCTTGTCTTGCATAAGGTTAATTACATGTATTGGGATAGTTTGGTGTTACTGGTTGAAAGATCAAAGAGCAAGTTTAAACATATTCTCAATAGCTGGCTTGTGGGCATATAGAAATTACAGTAAAATTACTGTGGCATTATACAAGAAGCCTGTCAGCCTACAGGAAATCATTATAATGACAGAAAAGAAGCTTCATAGTAATAAGAAGTAACAGCTTTATTCTAGATAAGAGGGCTTGTTGTGAAGAACCTCTTAGCTAGGTTTAAGCACTTCTTCAAAATAGGTGCTTGCAGAAAAGCTTAGTTGCCAGGCATTGTGGGTTTGAACAAAGGGAAAAGAACAAATTTCACTGATCTTTCTCTTCTTTTTTTCATCTTCTCCATTTAAAGCATATTTTAAGGGGACAAACAATTTTATAGGTGATTATATTCTCTTATAGGCTGGTTTGAAGTACTTGTCAGCAGGATCCGTAATTTTCTTTCAGGTTGGGAAATCAGGTGTGTTTTTGGAAAGTTGGATCATTCTTCAATTGCAGTTATTTCCTCAGTATGACTTTTTGTTGGTAGATATACATATTCTGTCTAAAAAGAAAGAAAATTCTGTACCATGCAGTAAGCTACAAGTTGCTGTTGGTATCATTCTGAACATTAGTTTCAGCAGTACCAAAGGCATCCCATCTTGGTCCTTTAATACTTAATAGATGATTGCAAGGCAGGAGAAAACAGTTTTAAGGACAGTTAAGGAATGTTTCAATATGTCTGATCAGTACTAGCTGTCAGCAGGAGGAAGAACAGAAGCTGATTTAGACACTGGGCAACCTAAGCTGAGACAATAGAAGGCATTTATTCAATCAGTGTTGCCTGAATTTTTCATGTGTAGGCATTGGCTAGACGTGTAGATAAAAATTTTGGTTGCCATTACACATTTTTACATTGGCTAACCTGGAGTTCCAGGAAAGTGCATGCTGCTAGGTAAGATCATAGGACTCATAGAGCACTTGGAGTTTAAAGTTTTGAGGGAAGATAAATAATTTTAAAAAAGAGAGGGAAAACAGTTAAAAAAGTGAGCTTACTGTCATACTGAGGGTGTGTTGCAGAACATCAAAGCAGGGTCTCCTGGGGACTTTTTTTTCTAGGAAATCTGAAGAATGGGTAAAGCATTGCAGGGCTTTGTGCTCTTGGTGTTTTGGGCTACTTTACTGTTCTCCAAGAAAAATGTGCAGTGTGTCTTGGAATATTCTTGGAATATATGTAACTCCAGGCAAGAGGCGATAAAACTCAGCAATGGTGAGGAAAGCATATGGGGAGAGAATGACTACAAAGTCATTGGTCGGTAGTGAGTAAAATAAAATGGATTAGAGGAGTGCAAGTTGTTGATGCACTGAATGATTTGATTGGTAGGATCTTAAAGCAAATAAAATTTGCAGTTCTTTAACTTGGGTGTTTTAAGGATGCAGTGCAGAAACTTAGTTTTTTTTAAATTATAAATTTTTCCAGCAATCTAGGAAAAAATATTGTGTAATAGGAGAAAAGAATGAGAAAATGTGAAAGGTTGCTGAGTAAATAGAGGCAAAATGAGGAGATGCAAGCTGTAAAAAGGTGTGATTAGCAAAGGCTATTGCAGATTTCAAAACAGCTCAAAAATCAATTAGCACTAAATGTCAGGGAGAGTGTTTGATATTCAGTGGAGGAGAGCTTTTGAAAACGTACTTTTTGTACTTTGTTATTATTTTAATATCTTCGAAGAATTACAACATTCAATCAGTGTTAAAGGTACTGAGTATGGAGAGAAGAGGTAAAATAAAAGCAGGTTTTAAGAGTAGCTCAAACTGTTCAAACATGTCAGAATCATGAGAATTATCTTCACAGCGCTGGTTGGCAAGTGTGAGGTAACAACATAAGGGCTTCACTTGCCCCTGGCAGCTGCTGGTACTACATTGCTTCCTGCATGGAAGTGCCTGTGCCACACTTTACAGACCTCATCCACAAAGGCCTCTTGATTGCAGTGGAGTGATTTGAATGTGTTTGGTAGTGTATGCACAGGAATTTGGAAGCCACTCAAGTTTAGGAAAAGCAAGCAATCAGTATGCAGTTTTCCAAGAACTGCTTGTTATTTTCCTAGAAATTTTATTTAATATGATGGACTGTCGACTGTTGCTGTTATTCTGTAGTCTTAGCTCTGGCAGCCTGGTAGGCAGTGATATACCAGGTATTTATGACTTAAGGTGTATGAGGAAAGCTATCTAAGTCACATCCTACCTGCTCTCTATGAAAGCCAAAGGTGGTGGGACCAAAGACAAATTAATCCAGGCAACAAGCTCTGGTACATGATTTTGGTATATAATTACCAAAGCTAGAGAGTTTTAGTAGTCAGAGATTTGGGCGTTCTTTGTAAACAATTGAAGGAAAATTTGTGTCACTTTTGGAATCCTCATTGGAATGTGTGGTATTGCCCACTGAATTTTAGGCAATTAATGACTAACCTGATTTACTGACTTCAAGTATGTCTTTGCTTTAGCCAGCTAAGAGAAAGCATCCCTTACTATGCAGTCACCATACAAACCACTGTTCAAATAATAGATTTGAGAAGCATGAATGATTGCCATAATGTGTGCAGAAAGACAGAAGAGTTACTTGCTGTTGAACAGTGTGCAGGTGTGTAACATACTGTAAACAGGAAAGGAGTAAGGGTAAAAAGTAATGGATTTTAAGTGCATTAAAAAAAGCTATTAAAAAGGCTTTTTAAAAGTAAGGCTAAATAAATGCGCAGAATAGGCTGCAGAGGGATGCTACAGTATATTTATACAATTTACACAAAACACTGAAATTGCTAATCCTGTGTTGAAGCAAGTAAGGTTTTAACTGTTAAGTCTTTCCAGCCCTGTTGATTTGCACTGAGTGTGACAGGATTTTTACATGGGTATAGATCAGGCTTATGAAATATATATTCACATTAGATTTTGACCATTGATGTCAGAAAATGCTAATGGAAAATGCATCCTCAGGTTATTTTTAAAGTAGGAGCAGCAACCTTGCAAAGCTAGTACACACAGAAATTGCAGGTCTCAGTAAAAGTGAAAACTCTGGTCATAAAATATGTCTGCAAATACCTCCAGGACAATCTTTTGTTTTAGTGTTGGCATGGGGCATTTCAGGTTTCAAAGCAGCATAGCTTGAATGACAGAAATTCGTTTTGGACCAAATGTTGACACTTATTTTTATAAGTCAGTTCTAGTCTTTGGCCTGTTGTGGTTTGTAGTTAACAAATTTTACTGAGTTGAGAAGAAATCATACCTGGATATCTTCATCAGTTAATGCACTGAATTTGTCTCTTGGTTGTGGTATGGTAGGAAATAAGTTCTTGAAATTGCAGCACCTTTGGGTAGAAAATGGGATTGTGGAGAAATTGAAAATACTGCTAATATAACTTAAACATTTTGTGTTGTAACTTAAGGACTATTTTTTAGTATCAAGATTGACTGTCTATTGCTCTACAAATTAAATGAGAAATAAAATCTTTTCAGTGAGGTGACTGGTGGGTAACTATTATTTCATTAGCATTTGGGTTATTAGAATTAATTCTGTGATTAGAATCACAGTAAATGCATTATTAATAAATTTATTTGAATAAATCACATGACATAATAAATTTATTTGAATAAATCACATGACATAATTTTCACCACTGAGTGAGAAGTTTTATCAAATAACAATATTTTAATTTGGATTCCCTCTTGTCTATACTGTATACAGCCAATGGCTTTAAAGCAACCTGAATGTTAAATGCTTAAAAGTAAGAACAAGAAAGCTTTTGTAGCATCTGGTAGAATCAATCACTTAATAACTTCAACATCCTTTCCCCCATTTTTCCACTTAGTGATTTTGCATGCCAAAGGGCCATCCACCAGCAATCCTGGTGGTGATTCTTCATGGCATTGATAATCACATCATTTAATTTTGCAGGTAGAAAAGTAGGAGGTTGGAGGAATGTGTTTCATATAGATAATACTTTGTCAGTAGTGTCCACCGAAAAAAGGTTGATTTACCTTTTGAAAAGACAATACAGGAGAAGTGTAATTGAGATTGTTCCAAGTGCAATCAGAAATAAAATCACAAAAATAAAGTAATCTTTCCCTTGACCTGAAACAGCCGAGAGAGAACTATTTTAGCATGGTAGAAAGCTACCTGTTTGCCTATATGATGAAATGAATGAGAATTTCACTTCATTTTTTGAACGTCTTAAAGGACTTCAGCTTGACTTCATGATAGAATTTTGTCCAAAAATGCAGATGGACTTGATACATTTCAAACCTTTTCAAATATTTAAAATTTAGAAAATTAAAATTTAGATTTTTTTTGTTTTTAATTCTGGAGAAGGAGAAGAATATACAGAGTTACAAAACAATTAATAGAGAAAAATTAGTGGAAAAGGTGAAGAGAAAGATGCAAAAGGAAGGGGATGATATTCCTGGTAAAAACTTTAGAGAACCGAGAGGCAGCTTTATAACAGCAGACCAAAGACAAGAGTGAGTCTGTCTCAGTCTGTTTCTGTAGCCCTGGCATCTGAGTAACTGCTGCCTTCACAGTCCTAGCTAATCAAAAATTCTGCTGTCAGACTATTGGAGCTACTCCTCCACGTTAATAAAATCCACCTAGTTCCTTCCATGTAATTGGGGAAAAATTAAGATTTTGTTAATTTCTGTGACTGTGAAGAAGAAAGGGAAGCAAACAAGGTAATACTGAAAAAAAAATCATAAGTCTTACCAAACTCAATGGGTTCACTCCATTCCCCCCAGTTTGAGCTCACGAGACAGTTTTTTCCACGTGCTCTGATTTTCAGAATGTATCTTTTTTTCTCATTGTAGTTTTGGAATTCATATCTGTCATCCCTTACCTAAAAGGAAAGTGATCAGACTGCATTTCACCTCATAGGCAAATATTAACAAAGTTTGTAGGTAAATTTAAATTTCCTGATACAGTTTCTATAAAAAAAAAATTGTATTATTAATTTTTTTTAGGCATGTACTATCTTGCCAGCAAAACTTTCTGGTTTTTGAAGGTTAATTTTTTTTTTAAGTTTATTTTGTCTTTGATTTCTTTTATTATGCTTTATGGATACTTGTGTGTGTGTGTGTGTGTCCTTATTTGTGGATAAGGAAGAAAAATCTGAAGAAAAATCTAAAGAAATCTGAAAGACACAAAGTAGAAGCTGGAGGAGTACCCTGTAAACTCCCCTTAAAACCTTCATGGGAATTAAACGGGCATGGATGGTGTCTGTCATTGCTAAAAAGATTTAATGCTCTTGAGATAATGCAGTAACAGCTTTGTAACATTTAGCCTCATGATACTTTATACAAAGTCCAGAATATGTCAAGCTCTTCCAAAGCTTAGAAGACCACTCATTTGTCGAGGGAAGATTGACAGTATTTATTAAATTCCCCAGATTTTGAAGATTGTTGTACTCCCTTTGCCTAGCTGTCCTGAGCTATCAGTGGTTTTATTCCAATGAGAATGACTGTTTCAGATTTTTAGTAACCAAAATGTCACATCTGTCGGGAACAAAATCTAATTGTGCAATAGATTGAATGTATGAAGTTTTGTGAAACACTTGGAAAATTTTGCCTACCCCATCCAAAAGAGATGTATTAAGTTTACACTTAAAGATATCATAGGAACATATTTTTCTGAATTCTCATTGCTACAAAACCTGTAGTTCTAGAAGTAAGTGCATTTTCTGTAATAGTATTTATATGCTTAAGTAGGCAAAAGCACAAATTTCTATATGACAAGAATACTCACACGAGGAAGTTTTTTCTCTTCTTTGGGCTCGTCCTGCAAAACAAAGACAAATCTTCATTTTTATTATTTTCTTATCAATCAAATATTTCTCTATTTTGTTCTCATTTTCTTGAAGATAACAAGTTATTTTAAACTGAAAAATCAATCGGATATTATTCTCCAGTAATGTTCCAGAATAACAGCATTTTATTCAGGGTTTTGTCTTCCTACATTTCCTTTTAGAAAAGGAAGGAAAAAAAAATTATTTAGCTGTGGATGTGAGAAGCTGTATTTGCCACTAAGGGTATTTTTATGCACACTATGCATTCTCATCCATACCCAAATTATGTAAGCAATCACATAATCATACAAACACGGCAGATCTGGAAGCTGTGATTTCACAATAGTTGGATAACCTGGGGCAGAAAATTGATAGCAAATTTACCCTCCTTCTAGTCAGATCTCTGTTAGACTTATCCATGCTGAGGGGCTTTCTGTAAAGAGCTACTCACACATCCTAAGCAACCAAAATTTAATTAACTAGAATCAAACATTGACCTGGATCAAAGAACTTGAAAATTTTGAAGAAAAGGATAAGTTCAAAAATGAGTGAACAAATTCAACAGTAGTGACTTTTAGCAATGACCTCAGAAGGCTTTGAAAAGCTGAGGCCCTGGAAACATCTATCACATGTCATACCAGGATAGCCAGCATTATGGAAAAGGCAGAAAGGTGTAACTGGAAGGAACATCTCATTACTGAAAACACACCACAGTGTGTCTTGCACTGAAAAGCAGACTAGCATTTCCCCATCACTCATTGTCGGCTGAGTGCTTTCAGCTTAGGACGTGATGGAAGCCATCAGCCTGTGCTGGGAATGAGCACAGTTGCTTAAACTTGAGATGTGTAGTGCTGCTTTAGCTGTTTTACCTTTGTTGGCCCCTCCTGAAAGGTGTGAGTTCTATCTGCCATCTGCATTTCTGGTACCTTCAACACTTCAAGGGCCATGAGGCACCTGCTGCTCCTCAGCCAGGAGCCCTAATGTACACTGACCCTTAGGAAATACTCGTGCTCCTGGGCAGACATCTACATTTAGGTGTCTCAGTCTAGGAGATTAATTTCCTACCCAAATGTAGAAATCTACACTGAACCCCACCCATTCTGACTGTGGCACAGAAAACAAGAGTTAACATGTATTTCTTTCAAATAAATGTTTTGACAATATTGCTATGTTGTGATCTATATCTTTATGTAAAACTTCACAAGTATATCACACAAGATCTTACTGTCAAATTATACCAACCAGCTGGAAAGTTACATGTACTGCAATTGCTCCTTGTACCAATAGGTACCAAGGTAGATACTGTTAATTCGTGAGAGATAAAAAATCCGGACAATCCAAACAGCCTGCAAGCTGTTGGTCTCGTTTTTAATAAACAAATGAGATTTAATGATGTGTTGCTTTATTGCAGTTGTATAGTTATGTTTAACCCTTAGCTGATCTTTCCTAATGTTCTTTTGGCTGAGCAATTGCTACCATGGTAAGCTTCTGAGCTGCTAAAGTTCATGAGAGGTGGGATGTGAGACCAGAAAAACTGTAGCAGGAGGACACCACAGCTTATGAGAGAAAAATTAACAAATAAAGAAGTCAGAAATGTACCCATTATAGAAATGCATAACATAGGTACAGTACCAAAGGCAAACCAGGAAATTGTTTTTACCTTATTTTGTATGCTAATTTCATACTGAAAACACCTTGATTCTTCCACATGATTTGTAAGGGGTGGATGCCACGTAATTATGCAACCTGCTGAACCTCTGGTACAATCAGCAGTGACATTTAATGGAGCAGTGAGTATTTCTGTGGGAAAATGGAATAATTAATAAGACATGGTCAGTAAACAGCTACAACTCATGCCTTCACAGCAAAATGCATGTGAAGATGAGGTAGCTGATGTACAATTGTGTGCTACTAGTGCTAACTGAAGTTATTTGGTAAACAGCAGTAAAAAAACCCTTACCAAAACTTGAGAATATATCACTGCAATTTTTGGACATCTGAAGTCAATGAAGTTCGTGTAAAGAAAAGGTAGGAAAGATTTTGTGTAATTCAGTAGTGCAATCAGCAGTGTGCCATTTTCTTCTGCATCTGTTTTCCAATTGCATATCGACAATGCAAGTTTCCACAGGAAAAAGGAAGGAAGGTTTTGGACATGTGGTATTATTCATGATGCATTCAAGGCATGTGAATTGGAGTGCCTATAATATGGTTGGCTCAGTGTCACCTGTTTTCTCTTGGAGCTTGAACACCTAACTCACAGAGGTACCCACATATTTTACTAACACTAACAGTCCTAATTTGGAAGCTGAACCCTCACTCTGGTTTTAGGACATGTAGCTCTTGTGGCTGTCAGAGAGGTGTGAGACAGTAAAATCAGAGAGGGTAAATGTCAGAGGGATGGTAAAATAAGCCCTTAAGAAAGGTGGTCTTGAAAATCTAACCATTGTGTTTCATTACTTTGAATCCATGACTATGTCCATACCTCTTCTCTCAACAGTTTTTTCAGGCTTCCTCTGCCTTTGCTTGGTTTAGGCAAGTTTTGGAGCTATATTGTGTCAGCTGTTGGAAGCAAAGTCTGCCCTGCAGTGCAGGGTCCTGCAACATTGTTTTAATCTGCTTTTCAGAGAAAAATTCCCCACTTCCTGATTTTATAAAATGGTAATAAAATAAAATGTTCAATTACTTACCAATTTTATACAGGTCAATGTACTCATCATAGAACTGGATCACAGAGTCTTTGCTAGACCCATTCACCAGAAAGTAAGCTTTTTCAACCCCTATGCTCACATTTTCGAAAATACATCCCATATTTCTACAATTTTCATCTTTAATGTAAAGCTCACATTCCATCTCCTCTTCATCTCTGCATACAGCAAAGTATTTTGGTTAAACATGGGCACTGTGATGTGTTGAATGAGAATTCAGAATCCCCTGGACCAAACAGACCTGTTTACCTCGACTTCTGCCAGTAGAGAAAATACTGTGTGTCTGCTGGAGCATCCCTTCCTGCCTGCCAAGTGCAGTTCATGAGGAAGATGTTATAAATCACACAGGAGAAGTTTTCAATGGCCGACCCATTCATGCCTGCGAACACAGGAATATCCAGGATGAGGAAAAATTATGTGACTCCTCCAAGCTGGAGGATCATGGCACACACTTAGGTATGTTAGATACCTGCAAGCCCAGCTTGTTATTGCCTGGGTTAGAAATGACAACTGAGAGAAAAATCTGCTCTCACTCCACTTTAACTGCCTCTGAACTGTGAAATCTGTCAATCAGTGAAGCATTCCACATGTAAAGGAAGGCACATTGCCTTTTAATACCATCCATGCTGCTTCAGGATGGTATTACTGCTACAGGAGAGCAGTATTTCTCCTTTTGCAATTAATGCCCAGGAATCCACTCCTGACGTGTTCACACAGAGGATTAAAAAAACTGAGACTTTTAAAAGTAAGGTTGGACTTTTTCTTGCTCTCCAATCAAGCAGGCTCCTCCTTAGATCTTTCCACGTTCATGTGGGTGGCAGTGACTTGTTCTTTTGCTTTTCTGGAGCACATTGCAATGGGAACCTCGTTTCCTTTGAAGGTCCCTCATGGCTGGGCTGTGCAGGCACACTCAGCTCTCTTCTCTTTCAGCCATTTTCTGCTTCTTTTTGTGATATGTCCTAAATTCAGTGGAAGCATGGAGGCTTCCTCTGCTACTGACTCCAGCCCTCTCCAGTTCCCATTATAGAGGGCAACCTTATGGAGGAACAAGAGAATCCTCTGGGGAAGCTGCACACTTGGAAGGCTGGGCCAGCCAGGGGTGAACACTGACGTTCTGTGTGTCCTGGTTTGTATTTTGAGCATCACCATGAGTGTTTCTGCTGTCAAGTCTACAGGAAGAGAAGAGCAGCAAGCATTTTCTCTGCCCAGATATGAGAAAGGTGCTAATCCATCACTTCTGTCATGTCTGAAGTACCCCAGTTACACACAGCTGCTGCAGCACTGGTGGCTGGGGAATTTTAATGGAGAAGTCTGAGCAGAGGAGGAAGGGGAAAATGGGTCACAGCAAACTCACCAACAGCCCAGCAGAAAAGCATTCAAATAAATAAGTACTAACATCTTAATCTGTAACAGCCAAAAGAGTTATTTGAATCCATCCTTAATCCACTGTAATTTATTGGCATTTTGGAGCCTTAGTATAAAAGCAAATAATGCAATTATGATACATTTGTAGTAATACATCTCTTGCAAAGTGATGGTGACATTTATTACAAAGTAAATAATTTTAACAGATCTGGAAAAAAATGTTTTTTAATAGCTTATATAGCAGTTACCTACTGTGTGTTTTCTAAGGCAATGTTTAGCTTTAAAAGATTGCAAATGGATAAAACCTTAGCTCAACCATATACATTACCTCCAGGGAGAAAGCTGCATTGTTTTGAGATATTTGTGTTTGGCACTTCAATGTTGAAGAATACCCCTTTGTGCAGAGGCTTGTCTAGTTCCTCTTGAAAGTTGCATAGTGGACTATGTACCTGAAAAGAGAACATGTTGATATTTTAGTTCTCTGCTTTTCCTTTTCTGATGTTAGATGAGACTGGCTATGGAAATGCAACTCAGGAATACAATTCCATGTATATGTATGTTTTTGGCTCAAGAGCTATCTGTCTCTTTTAGCACTCAAGGGTGATATAGAATGGAACTGAGGGATCAAAACCATAACTATACTAAAAGCTTTCCAGCTCAGGAGTTGGATACTACACTAGTGTGCAATTATTTTAGGATAATAGTAGCTCAGTGGCATAACAGAAGATGGTTGTTACATAGGGGAGCCGCAGAGCAATTTAATCAAAGGATTAAGCAAAATAAAAGTCGTCATCTGACCTGCTCAGGGCTTAAAAAAGTGTTTATGGTGTTATACATATAATCTTCAATAAAGATGTGATGTATTTTGTACTATGCATTTCTAAGGCACCTGCTTTGCTAGGCTAAATAAGCCATCTCTATCTCTGTCAAGCTTCCTGTTTTTCTCTTTGGATAATGTGGGTTTATAATATAACCTGTGCTACAGGCGTGATCCAGTTTACTGGGAAACAAGTGAAGAACTTAAGATAACCATAATCCATGGCAGTGTTCCTGGGATTTTTTTTGTTGTTGGGAGGTCTCTTGCTCTGTCTCTTTAAAGTCTCTAGAAATCTCACTTAACCTCACAGCCCCTTTTCTCAGCATCTACATCCCTACTCATGAGTCAACATAGCTGCAGTTCAGGCTATCACTGTCTTTCTACTTTGGTGTCAAAATTTAAATTCTTTAGTATGCATTGGGTGCTCATCTCACAGTAAATGCATCCTGGCATTGCTGATGGCTTTCCACGGCCCCTAAGAGATCAAGCTGTAGACTGCAGCCACATGTCGGATGTTATCTGCACATTCATTTTATTCAAAGTAAGTGAAATTGATAAAAAGGTATGATTATTTATCCCAATGAATGGCAAATTTACCTCTATGTCTATATATTCCATGTCCCTGTCCATGATGGTACATTTGTACTCAGAGAAATTCCTGCTGCTCTCCCAGGACAGTTCCATTTTTCTCCAGTCCACATTCACATTTGTAATGGGCGATTCCTGTGTGTCTGCTGAAAGTGTTGCAGCATAAGTTCAGTAAGGATATGCTATTGCTTTTATTGAATGCAGAGGGTTTAAGATAGCAATTGCCACTTTCATTGCAAGTATCTCTGAAAAATGAAGAGTTCAACCTTTTTTCCCAGATTATATCTGCAAAAAGATACTTACACTCCATACACTGGAAGTCAGCATGCAAGGGATGAAATAGCATCAAATACCACCAAATCATACAAATGAGTCCAAGAGTATCAAACATATTTCCTTCTCTGGAAAGAGATAATGGAGCCTTCAGAAAGAAAAAAAAAGGAAAAGATAAGGGGGAAAAAAAAGAAAAGAAAAGGAAAATCATATTGACATTTATTTTGGTTTTGCAAAACTTAAATTTTAAAAAATATTCTTTAGAAAAGCCAAGCAGAGGGTGTGTTTCAGGAAATCTGGCAGGCACCTCTGCTTCGAAAGAACGAAATAGCCATGATACTGCCTATAACAAAGTGGTTGAGATAAAGAGGCCACAGACTCTCACAATGATAAATACACTCACTGTATTCAGTGCAGAGACCATGACTTGCAATTACTTTTTCCCACATACACCATCAGAAAGTCAGGTTTTCTTGCTTTCTGGTCCTGTGAAGATCACAATGCTGTGCTTTGTATTAGCAGCTAGAATGGTGTTGATCACACTCTGCTGTTTTGGCTGGTGCTGAGCAGTGCTGGCACAGCATCAGAGTTGTCTCTCCAACCCCAAAGCACCAACCCTGCAGAGGCCAGTGGGACAGGGGGGTGCCAGAGGCTGAGAGGGAACATGGCCAGACAACTGACCCCCACTGACAGGGATATCCCATATCATACGGTGTCATGTTCAGCAATAAAACCTGGGAGAAAGAATCATTGGGGTGGGATGAGGCATTTCTTGTCCAGACATTTGACTTCCAAAGCAACTGTTATGTGTGTTGTGGCCCCTTGTCCAAGGGAGTGGCTGGATATTTTCTACTAAGGGGAAGTAGAAAATAAGGAAGAGGGCGAGTGAGAGAGAAGCTTGGTGGGCAGCTGGTGGCCAGCCAAGATCAGGGCACCACAGTATTTTTTCCTCTTTGCTATCACAAATTGGTCTCTGTTTTTCAAACTACATTACTCCCACTGTTAGAGGTTTGCATCCATACAGAATAGTCTACTTCAAATATTTGCTTGCTTCAGTGTCAGAAATAAAGGAGTCAGATGTTCCAGATCACTGTAGGCAATTTCAATTACTAAGGAAGTGTGAGTACCTGCAAAGGGCAACTCCACATTCATTCATGTGGTATGGAGGACTGAGTCAAGCTAGTCAAACACTGGCATCAGCCCTTGTCAAACATTTCTTATGTACAATTTTCCTTTTCTCCAAGGAGATTAGAACTCTAGAAAAGATTTCTCTATTCCCAGCCTTTTATTTTTTTTTTTTCTACATGAAGAAGCAACTCTGGTTAAATTTTTATTTGCTTTAACATTGTCTAGCTAAAGGAAACAAAAATTTAACCAGAGTTGCTTCTTCATGTACAGATGGTACTAAGGATAATTCTAACACTGAATTAAATTCTTACAAGCTCAGGAAAAAGAGAAACATGGTAATATTTTGTTGCTAGTCAGCCCTTCCATATAAATTTTTATGGTCACTTCAGAATGCTGATTTCAAACGGACTCCACTTGTGGTGAAAACAAAAACCCACCCCAATGTTCCAAGCAAGTCAATCCGTAGTCTTGATATTTTCAGAAGGCATGTCACAATTCCTGGGAACTGGCTTGATGTGACATACCCATCATGGTCCCCAGGACTCGAGCCAGGCCAGGACACCATGCTGGGATTGCAACAGAGACAGATTCTTCACTGTAACCTGCTTATCTCTCGCAGCATCCATATTTGTAAATCATCATACTGCAGTAAGGATGTGGCCAAGGCTGCTGGGAAGTGATATGGAAGAATCTCAAGTACAAACAGTCTGGAGGACTGGCCATGAAATGCTCTGTGAGATATTGGTCTCAACAGTTGTTTTCACTTTCCCATGCTGTCAGGGATGCCCCCAGTCATGCACATGAGAATCTTGAGATATATTGTCCTTGTAGTCAGCCTCTTAATCACATTTTTAGCCATTTTGGCCCTTCTGTTCAGTCACTCAACATTTTCCTCTTCCTTTCCTCATCTTATGTTCCTTTTCTAGGAATTTGTTTTCCTATTCTTTGTCAATTGTCTGCTCACCTTTATTTTAATTTCATTTTTCTTGAGATCTCCCTCTCTCTGTTCTGATTACTCCTGTGCTTTCAAAATCTCCCTCGGGTGTGCTACACATGACTGCAGCCCCATATTGCAAGTACCCTTCATGCTTTCTCATGGAAATGATCGTCTGGGACACTGCCATAGGAATCATCCAAAGCTCTGCGTGCTTAGAGAAGTGTTTGCTGGCATCATTGTCTCCACACTCTGGACATTTCCTTGGACATGCAGTGGAAATAGCTGGGCCTGTAAGCATTCACTCTCCTCATAAGAAATGACCATTCCAGCTGAATGCCCCAACACATAGCCAGCTCCTCTGTTTTTTCTCAGCCTTCAGGCAGGATGAATGAGAGAGGAGCTGTGGAGAGCCCTAAGCCATTTAGCTCAGCAATCCAGACCTTCTGCATGTGGCCAAATCAGTGGCTCCAGCATCGTATTTTTAGGAATTTTCTGCATCCAGGGCCTCCACCCTTTCCCAGACTGGTCTTCTGCAGTCTGGAGGTGTGGTAAAGCTCTTTCTGTTCTGAAGACACCAAAGTATTGAAGGTGCCAGAAGGAATACTTGTGTCAAAATGATCGTGAGCTTCATTTGGAGGATCAGAGTAGAAGAACCATATATATTCTGCTGTACCAGTATTTCCTCATATTTCATTAAAATAGGAGGAAAAATAGAACCTATTACAATGAAAATTCCCAAGCTGGATTGTTTCTGCCTTGCTTCTTTTCTCTGTCTCCCCCAGCCAGCCTCAGAAGTGTGTATCTACCCTGGTACCAATGGGAGGGCCTCAGGGGGTGCTTAAGCACCTGATTTCCACATTCATCAGCTCTTAGCTGACTCCCTAGCTCTCTCCAGGACAGTTTGTAGTTTGTTATAAACCAAATTTATCCACCTTATCAGCGTGTCAGAAGTAAAATACAGTCAGGTAGCCTACAGTGGTTTCTACAGAAAGCATGAACTAAATACTGACTTAAATATTATCAATTCTTATCCTCTTAGTCTCTTGTCCATGCTCTTAGGCTGTGAGTGCAGAATGGTACCAGAAAACATCACCTGAGACCAGTGAATTATTTTCTTCAGTGTCTCTGGGAAAATTGCTCCTGCCCATGACACACTTCCAGAAATGAAACTTTGTATTTTACTCATAGGGTAATGTGAGGATAAACTGATACACTGTCGAGATATGGAGAATATCATACACTGGCTAAGCCTCCCTGGAAGCACTGAAATAGGAAGGGAAACCTTACAATGCATACCAAACAATGAAATATTACTATCAAATTGCTGCCTAAATACAACTATTTCAGGTTTTAGATCAGTATTCTGACTCCTGCAGATGATACAGAACTGGGAGATGTGGGTGATATGCAAATATTTTGCTTCGGAGGGACCTGGAGAAGCTGGAGAAATAGGATGACAAGAATCTTATGGAATTCAGCAAAGGAAGGTGCTGAGTCCTGTGCTTGGGGAGGAACAACCCCCAGCACCAGCAGAAGCTGAGATCCACCTGGAAATCAGTTTTGCAGAGACAGCACAGGCTGACCATGAGACAACAATGAGTCCTTGCAGAACACAAGATCAAAGGCATGAGACAAGAGTGCTGCCAGCAGATCAAGGGAGGTGTTCCTGGAGTGCTGGGTCTTGTTTTGGGATCCCCAGGAAAAGAAAGATATGAAGCTACTGGAGGGAGTCCAGCAAAGATTATTAAGGGCTCTGACATATGAGAAGAGGCTGAGTAACCTGGGATTGTTGATCCCAGAGAGATCAGTGGGATGTTAACCATGTCTACAAATACACAGCTATGGAGAATGAGAAAGAGACAGACTCTGTTCAGTGGTGACAAGTGACTGGACAAGAACCAATGGGCAAAATCTTAAATAATGGAAATTCAGTTTAAACACAAGAAAACACCTTTTACTATGAGGTAGTCAACTACTTGAACAGGTTTTCCAGGAAAGCTTTGAAGTCTCCAGTGTTGGAGATACTGACTGGACAAAGCCCTGAAGAAACCTGCTGTAGCTGGCCCTACTCTAAACAAGGCTTGGGATATGACCATTTCCAGAAGTGCTTTCCAGCCTCAACCGTCCCATGATTTTGTGATTTACTTCCCCCCCCCGCCCCCAAGAAATCGAAATCTACATATTTCTAGCTACAGTAATTTATAGAAAGGGTACATAAAATAGCATTTCTTTCAGTTATTGAAAAATAGATGTCAGATAAAAGATGTCAAATAGTGCAATAAATATCATAGACATTTCATAGTCTTTCTTAGATCTTGCAGAAATCTTTAGAAATTTTGTATATACACATTTATACTTTCAATCAAATAGGCGAAAGAATCCTCAAAATTTTCTCTGGAATTCCTTAAACTGAAAGGACACTAATCCAGATTTTGCATATGTGCAAGTATGACTGTACCTACCTTAATTCCTGGCAAATACTTGTACCTTGCAAAAAATCTTCTGTGGAACAAACAAATCAACACACAACATAGAGAGACATACCTCCTCTCGAAAAACTCTCCTCTTTTATCTTGTTTGATTTGGTTCGCAGCAACAAGGACGCTTTAACGTGTAGTTGTAGTCACATGCAGAAATCTGTATGTATTTTGCTCTGCCAGCTAGCTTTGTTTTACTGCTTGACAGTATTAAGCAACAAATGTTGCAAGGTAGGAAGCTGCTCAGTTTATCATTTCCCTTGCTGCTTTTGAGCTTCCTTAAGTTTCCTGATTGGCAGATGATAACAACTTCACATGAAGAGATCATGCAACTAACTCTTCCTTCCTCTTATGTCAGATGAACTAAGCATTAATAGTCACTAAGCATTAATAGTCACAATATGCAAACACATTACCCAAACATACTCAGTAGAATATCATAGTATATCAACATGCTCATAGAAATACCGCTTCTATAAATAAACAGATTTTCATAAATAATATATTCTGGAAATAAGAGCACTGTTGTGTGACTAGTCCATATTTAAAGTGACTGCCTGTATGTGTTGGTTATGGCCCCTGCACAAGCCTAGTTTCTCCTCTGTGGAAGATCAGTCATTAGCAGGTATATACAAACAGCCAAGAACGTTCTACCTTGCATATTTGAAGGCAAAGAGATTCCAAGGAAAACACCAGACTCAAATTTCTGAACTTTCTCACTGCCCAACAATAGGTGGTTTTAGTTTGGTTCAACTTAGGCTACAATATCATGTTAGGTGAAAAAGTGTCTGACTGCAGAAATTTAAAGAAAATGTCCAAAGCATTTATTGAATAACATAATGTCACATCCGGAAAAATCTTTGCAGTCATGTAAATATGAGAGGCACAATCCATTTTGTTTGCTTTAACTTCCAGCTTCAGAGCCACAACTTCAGATGTGACTCTGACTGTTAGTCACTTCCCCATTTGTTTTACATGACATCTGACATGCAGTTATGTAATTTGCATGTAATGGATTTTTTTTTTTAATTTCCTGCTGTACTTGGATGCTTTCAGCAATCAGGATTTCAGTTAACCCCTACCTTCCACTCCCAACACAGGCGCAATAGCAGGAAGGTGAAGAATTCCCTAGGCTTCTATGGAGTGAGGGAAGATACTTAGTAGTTAGTCTGTTAAAGGAAGAACTGTTCTTAACCCTGCTATCATTGGACCAAAATTTTAGGGTGGGTTTTTTGTTTGTTTGTTTTGTTTTTGTTTTGTTTTGTTTTGTTTTTTGCTAGTGTATGTGCTCAGATCCACCTATAGCTACTTCACAGACTTTAAATGTCTTTGCTTTTCAGTCCACTCTGCTCAGTCTTGTCCACCTTCACCCAGTGATTCCCACTAGAAAGACATATTTATATTGTTTTCCTTTTCGAATCCTCAGGTGAAAAAACTAGGTAAGTGAAATGAGTAACAGTTTAGTCATAGCATGAGAGAGGCAGGGCTCAGCTGCAGAATTTTGTCTCTAGAGCCACATACTGGCACTGGCTCAGTCCTTATCAGCTTTTTCAGTACCTTGGGAACAGGGCATGCATGTTTCAAATCTTTTACTCACTAAAGGACTTAATTTACTTATTTTATGTAGCCTAAAACAAGCACATCCAGTACAGGTGTAGTCAAAGTTCAATGTGATCTGAAATTGTCTAGTCATCAAATACCACACACCTCGGTGACCACTGCCACCTTGAGTAACTTTTCTGAGGCATCATCCTTCCATGTCACACATATTTGTGATGCTAAGTGTGTGTCAGCGTGCCTTATTGATTTTGATGAGAGGATTTGCATGCTGTTGTGATGGTATTCTGGTGTGAAGGTGGTATTACAGTGTCACCTCACCAGCACCTTCAGGCTGCCCAAACAGTGGCTGAATTAGTTTTAACTGATCCATTTGTAAGCCGTATGAGGAGTGGCTCACCATCTCTGGAAGTGTTCAGGATATGACTGGATGTGGCACTGAGTTGTATGGCTTAGTAGAAAAGGTGGTGGTGTTAGGTCAAGGATTGGACTCAATGATTTTTGATGTATTTTTCAACCTTAATCATTCTGTGATTCAATGACTTTGAACTGTAACCTGAACTAATGTATCAGGTTTTTGTTTGTAACACCTTTCCTGAGTCTGTTAATCTTTTCCAGGAGAAAGCAGGAAGCAAATGATGAGCTTGTTTCGGTTCTATTTAACAAGACCCCAGTGCCATCTCTTGAGTGTCTTGATACTGTGTTTATTAAACTTCACTATTCCCTTCCTCACGTTGAGCCACTGAATGGTTGTTCATAGCTCATGGCTAGGTTTTGGTGGACTGGAGCCAAACTATGCCTCACTCAGGCATTTTTGCCCAAGAGGAGAGTTACTGTACAAGGTTCTATAAACCAGGGCCGTCTGTTACAACCCCATCACTCTTTTAGCAAGTTACTGTGAGCATTTCCACTCCAACCACTGCTGCATACTGGGAAAAATACAAAGATGATTTACAAGTGTGTCCAGCATGAATTCAGCCTCTTTTAGAAATTTGCTGTGTTGTTCTGGCTGCTGCAAAAATCTTCCCAGGTGAGTCTCTGACCGAAAGGTAATAATTAACTGTGTCAAAGGCAGTAGGTGTGCCAAGAGCTGTTTGTGTTCAGCTACAGTGTAAGCTGGAGAAAGCACAGCTCTGGAAGGCTCCTCAGCACTGGAACATGTCCAGGAACAACTGTTCCCAGCATTAGTTTGGCCAGGATTTACAAGTAATGTCCTGAACAGTTCCTGGACATAGTCCAGAGGTTAGCTCGGGCCAGGGCTAATTTCTAAAGGTAGTTCGCATGCGTACACATTATTTAGGGGTTTAAGAAAGTATGTCTGAACTCTTATGTGTAAATTGGCCCCTGTGCAAGAAAATAGTCCCAGGAATGTTTAGTCTAATGATAAAACATCTCATATTGTAAAATAAGTCTACTAATCAAATAGCAATGTTCAAATGTCTAGTGTAAAAATCTGAGCGTAGCTTGTTTTTCTGTCTCATTGCCCATGTGTACTTGAAGAGCTCTAAAGATACTTCTAGTATAAATTGACCCATTTTTGACAGTAGAACAATGGAATTCAGATATCAGAATTTTAAAAATCGTATTCATGTCAATAAATTATTTATTAATCTTTTTAATATGAGAAAGAAAACCAGTTATTTTTCCTTAAGATTAAAATGTAACTAAAACCTCTTGAATGAAATATTTCTATCATATTTACAAAAGAGAAGATATCCAATAAGGACAACTTATCCAAACAGTTAAAATTAGCCAAAACTGAAAGTAAATACAATGGCATTCAAAAAGATTGCATGTGAGGTATCATCCTCTATTGGCTGCATCACTGTTTTCTACATGAACAAGATGAAAGTTAAGAAAGCCTATATCTTATTCCAGACTTTCCACAGGAATGCACAGCTGTCTGTGAAATGCACTTTCAGACTCCTCCATTTTTCTTGGTTATCTCACCATGTCAGCAACTAATACTATCTCTTCATTTTCAGATGCTATTGACTGAATTTTGCTCTCCATCAGCTGCAAGGAAAATAAAAAACTTTCATCAGTTTTATACATAATGTTAGGTTAGCCTCTACTTATGCACAATTCTGAGTGTTTCATCTGTTTTTGCTGTGTGTGTCCACCACAGTTTCCCCTATTTCCTTACAAAACCCTATTTCGAGCTGTTTTCTGTGTCACCTTCTTGTCTTTCCTCCAGGTGTAGCTTGCTAGTGGGTCAGTAGGTGAGGTGTGCACCTGGAGGGATTCAAGGGGACAGCTTGGAGGGGGGGACCTGGGGGGCTCAGACACTGGGATCAGGTGTGAGGAATGTGATGGTGGTTGTAGATGAAGACAGCAGGGAGGTATGCTGATCTCACCAGCAAATTCAGCCCTGCTCAGCTGGAGAGGAGCAGGAGGACTGTGATGTCTGGGACCCTATTTTAGAGACTGCTGCTGGTGTTGATGTGGTGCTGGTAGAGGCAGCTCTGCTGGTTTTGTTTCTGGCTGCCTCACTGTGCTCTGTTGTGTCATTCTCCACGTCCTTGTGTTGGAGGGAGATTGAACAGTCCTTCCTGCTGCCTGGATCTGCCAATGGGAGCATCAGCCTGTGCATCTGTGATACTGGAATGGGAGAAACTCCGTGGTTCTGGAACAGCACTGCATTTGACTTCCCTTAAAGAACTCGCCTGCTGGGGTTTTTTTAAATTTTTCTTCAGAATAGGCAAAAGAGAAGAATGATCCTCTGTAATAAGTTCCTTATTATTTAAAAATTCAGCCAGTAGAGTTTTGTGTTTATTTCACATATTTAATATAAAAATAGGAAGAGAACATACCTCTGAGTTTGTATCAGCCCATGTAAATGAAGCAGGTTTTGGTCCGGGGATCTGTGGAAATGCTGTCTTCCAACAGCCAGTCCTGGAAATCAAAATGTATTGAATAAAAAATTAAAATTGAATAACTGCAATGTGACAACACCATTGCATCCTTGAACCAGCTCTTATCTTCCTCTTCCAAGTGAACTGGAAAATATGCATAATCTCAACACAGAATGAACATATATCAAGAAAATGTTAATAATTTGGATGGTAATAGATTCATTTTTGATTAAAGATTTACTAGTAGTAAATTTCCTTCTTTGACAGAAAAAGAAATCTGTCCTTCTATGTCACTACAAACAGGGAAAAGTGGGGGTAAAAATGTTAACAAGTCGAGAGAGCTGTATCTTCTCTGAATTACTGTATATTTCTATGTGAAATGCATCATATAGCAGAATATACTCTTTCTTTCTAATTCTGTTTCACTTATGTGGTTTATTATACCTATCCTACAGAGATACCTCCACCTTATTTATTTAAAAACCCTAGATGTTACACACACACGGAAAAAATAAAATAAATATAAAAATTAAGTTTACCTTTTGCATAAATAAATTGTGATGATTGCCATTAAGGGTGTTGCAACCCCAAGTAAAATCCATACCGAAGAAGATATAATTTCCTCATTTCCTGAAAGAGAGACATTCATAAACATTCATAAATCAGTAGTAGTAGTAGTAGTAGTAGTAGCAGTAGTAGTAGTAGTAGTAGTCATATGAGGAATAGATCATAGAATTACAGGACAGAGAACAGTTTGGGTTGGAAGTGACCTCTAGAGATCATCCAATTTCAGCCACTCTGCCATAGGCAGGGATGCCTTACACCACAGCAGAGTGCTTGGAGAACCAGCCTGGCTTTGAAAGCTTTCAGGCATCCACAACCTCTTTGGGCAACTTGAGCCAGTGCCTCATCACCCTCACAGTGAAGAATTTCTTCCTAAAATCTAATGTAAATCTACACTCTTTCAGTTTAAAGCCATTCCCCCTTGAAGTATAACTACATGTCCTTGCACAAAGCTCCTCTCCAGCTCTCTTGTAGCCCCTTTAGGCAGTGGATGAGTGCAACAAGGTGTCTCTGGAGCCTTCTCTTTTCCAGGCAGAACAACCCAAACTTTCTCAGATGCTCCATCCCTTGGATCCTACTTGTGACCCTCCTCTGGACTCACTCCAGCAGATCCACGTCCTTTTAATGCTGAGGACCCCAGAGCCGGAGCCAGCACTGCAGATCAGGTCACACCGAGCAGAGCAGAGCAGAGCAGAGGGGCAGAATTCCTCCGTCCCCTGCTGGCCACACTGCTTTGGATGCAGCCCAGGACATGTTTGGCTCTCAGGGCTGTGAGTTCACATTGCTGGGTCATGTTCAGCTTCTCATGCACCAGCACCCCCAAGTCCTTCTCAGCAAAGCTACTTTTCTTGAATTGAAGGTCAATTCCTTCATCCACCAGAGTGTATTGATACCAGCAGTTGGCCTGACCCAGGTGCAGCACCTTGAACTTGGTCTTGTTGAAGTTCATGCTATGTCAAACATCTGCTGTGGTGACTGGCTGTGGTGAATGTCAGTCTGAAAGGTTTCACTTGGTATAAAAACGAATCCTGTATTTTATCTCTTTAGCAAAATGTCTGATGGGAAGCATTAACATTGATCCTATTTGTTCACACCCTGCAGTAAGCAGGAGCTCACTACAGCCGTAAAGGTATAATTTTAAATGTTTCTTCCAGTGTTAGAATGTTAAGAAGTTGATTAAGTCTCTTCCTTCTCTTCTCTGTAGTGTGGTGTGAAACAAAACATTTGCTAATCCTTTGTACATCTGTGTGTCTGTAGGTGTCTGACAATGTGTGAGGTAGACAGGACATCACTGGGGAAGAGTAGCCCAGGATGTGGATTTGTTCTTACCAAACTCAACAGGTGCACTCCATTCCCCCCAGGCTGGATTCACAAAGCAGGCACTGCCAGCTGCTCTCATTTTCAAGACATACTTCTTTCTTGTGTTGGATCTTAGAAATAGGTTACTATTTCCCCCTTCCTAAAAAACCCAAAAAACTGAATGACTTTTCTTTGTTCCATGGCTATGTTGACAATATGCATGTGCAACCAGTGAAACTTTCAAGAGGCTATGAAAACATTGCTTGTTAAAGAAGACTGCTGTTACAGAGAAAAAAAATCATTATTTATATAATATATACGCAAATATGTTTCTCAAAAACAACCTGACACTCATCAAACTTTTTACATTTAGAAGCATTTCATCTTTTGCACTATAAAAGCATAACCTGTGATTTCTTATGGCATGGTTTGATTTACTGATAATTTCCCACAGCACAAACATCTCGAACCATCTCATTTTACTACTGCTAGAACTGAGTGGTTTGAGGAATAAGGTGTCTGTGCACCTGCCTCAGTCTCTGCATTATGAATTTTCAGAAAAAGCATAACTTTCTCTCCAAACCTGCAAAATAAGTAGATGACTGCAATACTTACCAGAATTTACTCAATACTCTTGCTCTTGGAGACTTTTGCATAGAGGTGGGGTGTGGAAGCTGCACTGATTAAAAGGAGGTGCAGCATACCTGGATGACAGCCTCCATCCCAAAAGGGCTTTTGTGGTCTATGTTTTTCATAAACAAAATTGAATTCCTAGGAGATACTCCATCTTTTCCCTGTTGTCAGTGATGTGTGACTTCAAAGTCTGTTCCAAATATTTGAGGAGAGTGGACAATATAATGAAAAATGGGGGATTTTGAAAAAACTTACAGAAAAGCAATAAAGTTCTGCCCCTGAATGTCTAGTAAATTACATATGCCATGATGATTTAGCAGTTTGAAGCATTCATGAAATCTATAAATAAGGTTCCCATAAAGCATAGGACACTGAGCACATACTGATTTAAAGGTATTTGCATTCTATTTACTTTTCACAGTTGACAATTAAATGAATGTGTATTGCTGATTAATAGAACAGACTTACTTGTATGGAAGTATATATGGGTTTTCCTTTAAGATTATCCTGTAAATTGAAAGAAAAAGAAAAGCAACTAACTTTATTTTTGCCATTGTTGGTTTTATGTTTCAATAATAATTAATTTTTATCTACTGTCCCATTTTTCTGTATTCTCTTTCTTGTGTACCTCATGGTTTGTTTGGAAGATCTAGGGATTTAACATTTAGTATCTAATATCTAATTCATTTACAATGCCAAGTTTATATAGTAATTAATTCTGCTATGGAAAGATATTTGTTTTCCTTGTCATCACAGTTGAGATACAAATTTTATTTCAGATTGAAGCACAAGGCGAACCAGATCTAAATGAAAACTATAAGTTTATTCTCACAGACACCAGGAAAAAAAAAAAGAAGATAAAAAATCTGTGAAATAAACTTCTTAATTCACATCTAATGCTTTAATATTACAATAGGTGTCACTGTATGGAATTGCAAATATTATGTAAATAGTATTTTGTTTTGTTTTAGATGAAAATATTTGGGACTGGCATGGATTCACTTATATTTTAGGTTGCCCTCCACTACATTTTTAATAGATAGATAGATAGATAGAATAAAATTTGCTCTTCTTATTTGATTAGCCATAATACTACCACACACAACTAATGACTACAGACTATATAATCTCCATTAGACAACTACTTATGTATTTTTGTAATTATTTTGTAGTACATAATTTTAGAACAAAACTCAATTAATCCAGACTTACTTTTTCAAATAATTGCAAGCCTGCTCATGTGGCATCTGGACATGAGGCTGTTCAGCCTGGAGAAGAAAAGGCTCTGGGGAGAGCTTACAGCACCTTCCAGTACCTAAAAGGGTCCTACAGGAAGGCTGGAGAGGGATTTTTCACAAGGGTGTGTATTGATAACACATGGGGGATGGCATTGAGATGAAGGAAGGTAGGTTTAGATTAGATGTTAGGAAGAAATTCTTTACTGTGCTGGTGGTGAGGCACTGCAACTGGTGGAGGCCTGTCCAGTTCTGACAACTGGACTGAACACAGAGCCACGTGGTTTTTTGAGCACTTCATGGGATGGTGATTCCATCACTTTCCTGAACAGCTTGCTCAAATACATGACCACCCTAATATTCCATTTAGACCACCCCTAGAGCAACTTGAGGCCATCTCCTCTTGTCCTTTGGTTTGTTTCCTGAGAGAAGAGACTGACTCTCACCTGGCTATAACCTCTTTTCTGGTGGATGTAGAAAGCATTAAGGAGTCCCCTGTGCCTCCTTTCTCCAGGCTAGACAACCCCAGCTCCATCAGCTGCTCCCCATAAAACTTGTGCTCCAGACCCTTCACCAGCTCCATTGCCCTTCTCTGGACACACCTGAATTCTGGCATGCAGAAAGTCAGGCAAGTGTTCCAGGTGAGCATGGCAGGACATGAAGATTGAGTCTGAACTCAGAGACTAAAGGGAATTATATAAAAAGTAGAAGAAGGGATTTGGGAGGAATATAGAGACATCATTGCACGTAGAGGAATGGAGTCAGGAAAGACAAGGCTTAGCTGGAGTCAAGACTAGTGAGGGAGGTGAATACAAGAAAGTCTTTTATGAGTTCATTGACACCAAGAGAGGCTATGGAGAAAGCAGGCCTATTGCTTACTGAATTGGGTGAACAAAAGACATAAGGGAGGTAAAGGTATCTGGTGCCTTTTTAGCTCAGTTTTCCCTGCTAAGTTTTGCCTTTGGTTTTTTCACATTTCCCGATCTATAAAGCCTTAACAAAAAACATCACTGAAGAAGAAACATTTTTTCAAACATGAGTAAATGTGATTGAAATTATGTTACTCATGGTGTTATCCTTTTTTCAAAGTTTTTTTGTTGTTTTTTTTTTTTTTTTTTTTTTTTTTTTTTTTTTTTTTTTTTTTGCTTACTCCCAATGCAAGAAACTTCAGTTGTGAAAAGTAAAGTTTAAAGGCTAACTGTAATACAACATTTGTTAGTCAGAGTGTATTGGTAAAAAACCACAAGTTTAGACCTGTCAGTGATAAAGCAATAAATTTGGTAGAAGAAATTTTTATGGGTAAATCTTCCAAAGATATGATTATAGTTGCATCTTATAAGTGTCAAAGGAGCCTACACTGCTCAATTGCTGGAATAATTGCTGTACCTTGACATAATTAGCTAGGTGAAAACTGCTAATGATTATTAAAAAAACTAGAAAATTCACACAAGGTGTGAATTGAGTATTCGTTATAAAATGAGTATTGCATATATTAAAAGTTATTTAAAAGTATATATTGCTTTACTGCAATAGACTTTTGTTCTGATGTCAGACAGAATTTTCAATAACGTTTCTTTGTTACAACAGCCAAGTGATTCAGAGAAATAATGTTGTTTCATTGCAGTTAGCTGGGCTTGCAAAAAGACTCATCTCTGAAATAGTACGCCCAATCCAGACTAAGAAATTCCAAATCTCAGAAACCTAAGGAATGTCTTCAATCAGCCACTAAGTAAGTGGCCAAATCTGGCTGTAGTTCAGGAAGATTTTTCCTTTGTAGTCTCTGTCTGCCACCCTGCGGCCTTTTGGTGCAATTCTGCCGCAGTGGTTTGCATCTGCTCTCTCAGTGGAATGCAGCCATCCCATTCCTTCCCTATTGCTGCCAAAAGACTTGGAAAGTCAAGGTCACCCCACCACTAACTTGTCCTTAATCACACTGACTTTCTGCTTTCTCTCACACTTATTTTCCTTTTATTTATTATTATAAATCTTCAGCTTTTGGACCAACATATGTGATGCTTATATTTGGGTAAGCTATTTGCATTCCATACATGGAGAAAACTCATTCACTTTTATTAACTCAAAATTGTTAACTGAATGCACATTTCTATTTTCACTCTTTAAAGTCCAGCTCTGCCCTTCCACAGAGATCCAGTTTCCACTGGAAAGACTTCAATCCAGGGCAACAAGTGAAAGAATTGCCTTTTCTAAGTGTTGTAACAGACAAAGCTATGATGTATTTGAATCTCGATTAACCATGCTTCTCCTCTGGGACTGTCCCAGACATCCAGTGTATCTCCAGGAGTGTCTTACTCAAGAAGGCAGGAATTAAAAAATAAAAATGGGGCAGTATGGAATAGCAGGACTTGGCGTGGACCTGAAAAGTGAAGTCACAAAGGAATAAGGTGCTATGTACAGGGAAGGCTACATCATAGAAGAGAAAATTATTTTCTTTTCACTCGTGTATTGGTAAATGCAAATATATTAATTAAAGCTTAAGTGAGGAATTTCTTACCTTATAGTTTACATTAATTTCATATTTAAAACACATATCTTGGTTAGAATGACTTATTTGGGGTCGTTGCCATTGAATTATGCAATCATTTTTAATTTCATCGCAGTTGACTGTGATATTTGATGGAGGCATGAGCTTTTCTGAAATGATATAATCAAGAATTCAAATAATTAAAATCACTTGATCTCTTTTTGATTTGATGAAAGAGAGTGAAATTACAAGTAACACCTCTATGAAGAAAGATACTCGTTTGTATCAATTTTTCTTAGGACCTATTAGAAATAGTTGAAAGACCAAAGATTTCTAAATCGTGTATACAGGATCATAGAAAAAAAAAAGAGACTAAGACAGGGAACATCATATAAGAGCATACAAAGAAACAACCCCCTCCATTTACTTTTCTAGAGGAATAAGGTAGAATACTGTCTTCTTTTTAAGAAAATGTTTATTACTGCAGATGAACTAGCTGCTGCTATCTCTAAAGTAAGAAATACAAAGATCTTTCTTTTTGTTTTCCTTAAGCCTCCTCACAATGCTTCTGTGACATGAAGGTGTTGCCTTCAATCTGTTGTGAACTATGCAGTTTGTTTCCTCCTTGCAAAAGAAATAGCCATACAAATTTAAGAAAGACACTCAATTTTTAGTAGTCTTGCCAACTTCTTCATGTATTGCCCCTCTTTTCACAGATGTAAGCAAAAGCATGAGGATCTTTATTTTGTTGGAATGTGTTGGAACAGCAAAAGACAGTCACTCATGGCAGAAAGGGTGACAAAAGGCTGATAAAGTTTAATATCAGCTAGAATACTACTTTCCATCACTCTTTAGGGACAAGCTTAGCCTGTTTGTGATGGGCTACTTGGTCAAAGAACAATCTTTTTTATCTGCGATGAGTGACATTACAGCTCAATTTCTTCTTATAGAACAAAGCCTTTTTTGCTCAGTCTTTTAACACAATACCAGAACCAGTGTGACATTTCCACTGAGACTTTGCTGCAGTAACAGTAGCTGCACAGGATGCTTTTAAGTACAGCACCACATGCCTAAGGAATGTTGTACATGTCTTAATTAATTTACTCTAGAGTATGATGTCCTGTGTGTCATCCCCACTGGCAATGAAGCAGAAATCAGTGCTCAGATAAACTTCTAATAAGTCTCCTTTCTCCTCTATTGAAAGGTATTTGGCCATCATTGAAGGGCAGCAGGGGAAAGTACAGTTTTTAAAGTCTTGTGGACCTTGCTTAAGAAAAACCTTAAACTCATAAGGGCAGATTGCTAAAGAATCTGAGACACAATACAGGTGTCTTGTACCTTTCTTGTTTAATTCCTCTTTGTCTTTTGCTTGGGGAATAGGTGTTCTTGAGAAAGTCACAGTCTCACTCTCAGCTCTGGATGAGACAGTGTACATAGTTTCTTCTCAGGGATAAATGCTCTGCTATTTTCATATAATAATTAAAATAAAGGTGAAATAAATTATTTACTTACCAATTTTATACAGGTCAATGTACTCATCATAGAACTGGATCACGGAGTCTTTGCTAGACCCATTCACCAGAAAGTAAGCTTTTTCAATCCCTATGCTCACATTTTGGAAAATACATCCCATATTTCTACAATTTTCATCTTTAATGTAAAGCTCACATTCCATCTCTTCTTCATCTCTGCATACAGCAAAGTATTTTAGTTAAACATGGGCACTGTGATGTGTTGAATGAGAATTCAGAATCCCCTGGACCAAACAGACCTGCTTACCTCGACTTCTGCCAGTAGAGAAAATACTGTGTGTCTGCTGGAGCATCCCTTCCTGCCTGCCAAGTGCAGTTCATGAGGAAGATGTTATAAATCACACAGGAGAAGTTTTCAATGGCCGACCCATTCATGCCTGCAAACACAGGAATATCCAGGATGAGGAAGAATCACGTGATTCTTCGAAGCTGGAGGATCATGGCACACACTTAGGTATGCTAGACTCTAACTAGTTATTGCTTGGATTAGGAATGATTTATTTCATTTTGCTTGATAACATTGAAATATAGTTGCCCTGACAGATTCAATGAAGAATTTTTTATGGATAAATCTTCCAAAGATGTGATTATAGCTGCAACAAAACAATTTGTGTGACGAAAAAAGCTGGTGCTCTCATGAGCACTGCATAAACTTTACAGATGTACTTTAGATGGCTGCTATTTTAAGGTTTAAAGATTGTTTTTCTATCTGCTGTATACAAAGTTAAGGATGAATAGATGTCAGGCAAGTGGGTAAATAGCTGCAAGCAGAAAATATCAAAATAAGTCACAGTAATATCCATCAACTCAAGTTACCCAATGTTGAATATGGTAAGTTTGCTGAGGGTGTTAGCTCATGGGCTTTCAAGGATGTAGGTCAGATACAAGGAAGAAAACCTTTACTGTGAGGCTGTGAGGTAATGGAGCAGGTTGCCCAGAAAAGCTTAGATGCACCATCCTTGGTGCATTTGAGGCCAGGTTTGTTGGGGCATTGAGCAACCAGGTGTACTGGAACATGTCCCTGGAGGAGTTGGAACTAAATTATCTTCAAAGCCCTCTCCAACTCAAATTATTCTGTGAATATGATTCTATGATTGAGGAACAGTGTCTCACTTCTAAGAATTCAGTATCAAACCCAGTAAAAAGTCAAAATCGTGTCTAGGATCTTTCTTAGCATGCAGCAGGTACTTTATTTGTTAAAAAGCTTCATTCAACTTAGTTCCATATATTCCTCTCGACAGCTTTTTAGATTTTGTCTGGGACATCCAGACACACCTCTTTGACTTCCTAGAGACTCAGTAAGTACCTCAGCAAACAAAACAGCTGAAAAGCAAAAGATGGACCTACCTTTTATTTCAAAATGTCTTTACCTCGTTTATGTTTCTATTACAGTCTTCAGATTCAGAGAAGATGAAAAGACAAATTTAAAATTAACTATAAATAGGGCTGTCTCCCTTGCTGCTTGTGTTTTGGGGAACCATCTTAGCATCGGAAGTGTTGCGAAATGAATGTTCATCACTTCCCCCCTGATTCATAGCAAATTTTGTAATTGCCCAATTTGGGATTTCTTATAACATGAACAAGAAGTTAGCTGGTTAAATTTCCCCTTTTCTTGCACCAGAGTGTGCTGGTGTTTGGGAATCCAGAAAGTGCATAGAAATATTTACTTTTACAGGTATTTCTCTCTAGCGCTAAACAATTCTGAGAAGTAGAAAGTGTCTCTCCACACATCTCTCTGGGGGATGGAAGATGGGGAATGGGGATGGAAGCCCACCCCACTCCCATCCCAGACCAGGGCAGCTGTGGACCCAGGGCAGCCCCAGCCCTGACCCCAGGCACCTCTTTGGGGACTGGGATGGGCCATGGGCCTGAGGGTGAGCTCAGCTGGGCAGGGCTTATGTCCAGGCAGGGCAGGGCTGAGGGAACCTGGGACTGGCCCTGCTGTGGTATCACTGGGCAGGGCTGATGGATCCAGGGGAATGATGTCCTGGGCTCTGGGCAGGGTGGGGGAAGCTCCAGGGGCTGGGCAGGGATACCAAATCTGTGAAGGTACTCAGGGAAATGACAATGCAAACTGTAAGTGTTCTTTAAGCAGATGGAAAAAGGGGATTTCAAATCTTGGATATGATGTTTTCAGATAAGATAAATCACTATTAAAAAGTGGGATGCGGGTTTGTCCTCAATCCATTTCTCCCAATGTGAAAATAGCCGAACTACAAATTGCCACTAAAATAGAAAAAAATCGCAGGTAGTAAGCATTCAACTACAAATAGCTGCTCCAGGCCCTGCTGTTGAGCATTTGTTACCTTCTTAGGTCACAGCTGTGCATTTTCTAAAGAAGAGGATTATTATAAACAGTATAAAACATCAAAAGCTCCTTCATACCCTGAAAGGCTTTGTTTCACAGAAGACAATGTAATTTTTTTAATATGGATATTTTAAATCCATGTAAAGTAATTTAATTTCTTCACATTGAAATTGAAGCATCATTAGAAAATATGATTTTTTAAAACACCAAGATATGTCAACAGTTTCCTCTTAAAACCACCAGATCCTTTCTGCTTGGAGTTAAAAACTTGTAGGAAAGAGAACAGTCCATGTACTTCCCTAACACTCCCATTTCTTGGCTGTTATATTTGGAAAAATCCATCTGCTGCCTAACAGCCTTCCAGCATGTTCCAGTATTTGGCTTTATCAAAATCCTGAGGTCATTCCAGTCCTATAGCTTCTTTATTGACATATGGAATGACTTAACCATGTGAGGAGTAGCTCTCATATATCAGCTGTTCATAGATAACTGGGATATAGTTATGTCCAAGAGAGGAAGCTGAAGGCAGCACAGTGCTGTCTTTCCTTGGAGATAAAGAGAGCTTATCTTCTAGAGACCCAGAAATGCCTGGGCACATGAGTGCTTCTGCTTTCTGGATTCTGCTAGAGTGTGAGATTGGTGACTGGTGAGCTAGAAGTGCACTGCCATTTTCTGGGTTCATTATATAGTATTGATTGTGGATATTACTTATACTGAGTTGTCGCTGAGGCCAGCCAACACCACAAAGACGAAATCTGACATGCATTCTTCTCCTCAAATCATGTAGGATAAACTGAACAGGTGTAGTGAAGCAAGTCTACTCATCATATGGGAAACTTTTTGACAGCAAAATTATTTTCTAACACAAAAAAAAAGAAAAAGGAGGAAAAAAAAAAGAAAAAAAAGGACAAAGAACCTAGCTCACTTCTGCTCACACGCAGTACTAAAAACATAGAGTAAGGCATGAAAGAAGAGCCAATGTATTAAGTGGCACTCTATGTTTGTTTTCATGCATTTATTCACATCTGTTAATAACTCTGTGTTAACTGAGGAGATGAACTCACTTTGAGCATCCAGAACTTCAAAATCTCCAGTCATCCATGGAATCAAGAGGCATGAGAGAATCAACAGAACCTTGCCTGGTCTTTTGTGGTTTCAGAGGTAAAGATCTAAGGCAGTGTTGGCTCTATAAGGACCAATTCAAGGACGTTCACTCTCTTCATATGCTAGTAGAGAATAAAAATGTGAGAAAGATTTTCTGAAGCATATCTATGAGACAAAGAGTGGGAATGACAACCATGTACGTATAGGTGGATATTCTACCAAAAAGCACATTTAGTCAAATAAGCAGCTCATTTTGGTAAGAATTGCTATGACTATAGTGTGACCCCTATCACATTATAGATGTTAATAGACATAGCAAATAAAAGCTTGGACATCAGGTCTGAGCCCATGATAGTTGTTCAGAGGTAAAAGCAGTCCATTTTCAGAAGTTTCACTGTACTTCCAGATTAAATAAATTCCGTACGTAACCATGTACGTTTGTTTGTTTTGTTGTTTTTTTTTTTTTTAACACTGACTGTCCTGTAAAGAGAGAAGGACTGATCACAAAAAATGTAAAACCCCACAGTTTATTGTGTCCTCATCTTTGGAAGAAAGCACTCAATTCTGTGGTGGTAACATACTGTATTTCATGGAGAAGGGTAGTGGTAAGTACCCAGGTAAAATCAGAGCTGAAAGAAATGTCATGGAGAGTCAAATAGGACTTGGAAAATGAGGGAAGTAAAATTTTTCGTTTGCCTGCCTTCCCATGTTGCCACTCTGGAGATCTCTTGAGCTTGCAGAGAAGGCAGCAGGGAAGCAGTGTGTTTTTGTGTGCTGTCTCAGATTATGTATCTCTGAAACACAGTGAGTAAGAGTGAAATTTGAGGTTTTGGGATTTGGCTACTTTGTTTTTAAAGTGGAATTACTACAGCAGAACAACCCAAACAGCCCAGAAGGACAGTTTTGTTTTTGCAGAAAAGGGAACTGTTCTACCCGGGGGATTTCTTTTCTTGTCTATGCTTAGGGCAACTCCTTACCTAAGGCTTTCAAAAATACAAACAAATTAAACACATTTTAAAAATTTCCAAGCAAAGAGAGTGCTATTGAGGGTGCTCCCAAAGTCTGTCATCTTTCAGAGACCAGAAAACTTGAGTGGCCTTGCTATGACCAGGTGTTGGAAACAAAATGAGAAGAAGAGGAAGAGAAAGATAAAAAAGAATAAAGGAGAGAAGAGAAGAGAAGA